GCGCGTTGCCGGCCCCCCGCCGCTATGGCGTCGCCGGCCGTCAGCCCCGACTCGTCCTCCCACGAAGCCCTCTCCTCCGTCAACTCAGCTCCGGCGTGTTCGCCCACCTCCGACTCGGAAAACCTCAGCCCCGACGAACTGGAGCTGCTGGCGAAACTAGAGGAGCAAAATCGGTGAGTGCCGGGGGATATCCGCCCCATTCGGTCTTTTTATCGTCCTTTTTTTTTCAAGCATTTCCCTTAAAATCAAAGAGACTGGACAACAACGAGCCGCTTCCCCCAAGCGTCGCTCCAGCCAGGGTGAAAACACTCTGGTTTATTATTTTCAAGGTTCTATTTTTCGCTTTGAAAGCAGCAGGGTTTGCTTGTTCAGGCGGGCAAAGGGGATTTCTGGAAGGAGGCAGCTGTTTGAAAATAATAAATAATAAACCCACCCGCTTCAGCGGTGAGTTTAAAAACTGCTCTTGATGGGAAACGAGCCCTGAGGCTCACTTTGCCAAAATACCGGGCAAAAAGCTCCATCCCTGGTATTAAACCAGTGTTAAAAACAAGCCCTAAAATACAAATTTCCTTGCAAAGCGATTTTTAAGCAAATTTACTCTTGGAAAAAACCCATTGGAAATCTGTTTTTTGAGCAAATTCATTAAAGAAACCATCCGTGGGCAGTTGTTGGCATCTGGGTGGGGCAAATAGCCCATCCGGGTACTGTTTTGGGGTGGTTTGGGGGAATATCTCCTCCTTTGGGGCGGTTTTGGGGGAATATCTCCTTTTTTTGGAGTGGTTTTGGAGGAATCTTTCCTCCTTTGGGGCATTTTGGGTGAATATCTGCTCCTTTGGGATGGTTTTGGGGGAATATCTGCTTGTTTGGGATGGTTTGGGGGGAATCTTTCCTCTTTTAGCACGGTTTTGGGGGAATCTCTCCTCCTTTGGGTTTTTTTGGGGAGAGTATCTCATTTTTTGGGACCATTTTTGGGGACTCTCTTCTCCTTTGTGGCTGTTTGGGGTAATCTCTCCTCCTTTGGGGCAGTTTTGGGGGAATATCTCCTCTTTTGGAGTGGTTTTAGGGGAATCTCTCCTCCTTTAGGGCTGTTTTCAGGGAATATCTCCTTCTTTGGGGCATTTTGCAGGAATATCTGCTGTTTGGGGGGAATCTCTCCTCTTTTAGCACAGTTTTGGGGGAATCTCTCCTCCTTTGGGGCTGTTTTCAGGGAATATCTCCTTTGGGGCATTTTGGGGGAGTCTCTTCTTCTTGGAGGCTGTTTTGGGGGAATATCTCCTTTTTGGGGATGGTTTTGTGGGAATCTCTTCTCCTTGGGGGCTGTTTTGGGTGAGTATCTCCTCTTTTCGGGCAGTTTTGGAGGCTTTCTCCTCCTTTGGGGCTTTTTTGGGACTGTCTCGGTCTCTCACAGGCTACTGGAGGCCGACTCCAAGTCGATGCGCTCCATGAACGGCTCGCGAAGGAACAGCGGCTCCTCCTTGGTCTCCAGCTCCTCGGCCTCCTCCAACCTCAGCCACCTTGAGGAGGACACCTGGATCCTCTGGGGCCGCATCGTCAACGAGTGGGACGAGTGGCGGAAGAAGAAGGAGAAGCTGCTGAAGGTGAGGAAACTGCTTTATTTTTAATTATATTTTAACCCCGCCGCAAAAATCTGCAGCATGATCTTCCCCGTGCCAGGACAGGACGATGTCTCCCCATCCATGAGGAGCTTCCCTATCTTCTTGAAACCCATTTTCTCAGGTTTTTGCCCCATTTTTCCACAGGAGCTCATCCGCAAAGGGATCCCCCACCACTTCCGCGCCATCGTCTGGCAGCTGCTCTGCAGTGCCACCGACATGCCCGTCAAAAACCAATACTCGGAGCTGCTCAAGATGTCCTCTCCCTGCGAGAAGCTCATCCGACGGGATATCGCCCGTACCTACCCGGAGCACGAGTTCTTCAAGGGACAGGACAGTCTGGGCCAGGAGGTGCTCTTCAACGTCATGAAGGTAATGTCTTTCCTCGAACATCAATGGATCTTGGCCACAGCCCGGACACCGCTTTGGGTTTTGAAGCTATTTTAACTGGATATTAGTTTTTGAGGGGTTTGGTTTCCACCACAAACTCCTGGAACCATCACTTCTTGCAGCGTGACAGCCCTTTCCTCGCAAAGGGACCTCATTCCCCATCTGGCCCAGACCTCATTTTTCCTGTTGAGTTTTACTCTAAATTAAGAAACGAATAGTTGAGTCTTTTGGGGTCTAAATTCAAGTTTGCAGCAACATCGTGTTCACAGGAGGCGTCGTCAACCAAAAAAAGCTACTTTCCGTCGTCAAGGCTTCCCTCCACCGTTGCTCTCCCACAGCAAGCAGGGGTGGGGACCCGGCCAATCCCCCTGCTCACACATATATTTATTTTGAATTTTTTTCCTCCTTCCAGGCCTATTCGCTGGTGGACCGGGAGGTCGGTTACTGCCAGGGCAGCGCCTTCATTGTGGGACTGCTGCTCATGCAGGTTTGTGCCAGCCCTGGGGCGAGGAGAAGCTGCCAATGGATTTTTAACACCCGCCGGAGATGTGGTAGAATGGGCTTGGGGAATAGGAGCCTTTTTCTTGATCCTCAGGAACAAAATGGGCTCGTTCCCACCATCCCACTTACTCCTGATAGGTTTAAAATCCCCTGCTCACATTCCCCTTCACCCAGGCACGGCTCCCACCACGTCCCATCCCATCCCATCACCTGATGGGAAGAGGCCCTGCATCCGGAGCTGCCAGCAGAGGTTTAAGGGGGAATTCATGTCCCTTTGGGTCTCCAGATGCCCGAGGAAGAGGCTTTCTGCGTGTTCGTGAGGCTGATGCAGGAATACCGCTTACGGGAGCTCTTCAAACCCAGCATGGCCGAGCTGGGACTCTGCATCTACCAGTTCGAGTACATGCTGCAGGTAAGTGCAGCCCCCCAAAACGCTTGGGGTGGTGGGAACCGGTGGGTAGAGCCAGGGGACAAGGACAGGGAGAGAAGCAGGAGTGAGGTGGCAGCTCTTGGGAGAAATGGGTTCCTCCAATGGGCTCTTGTCCAGCAACACAGAGATCCTGGGGATGTCTATGAGATGTTTTGAGGACTATCCATGATTCCTCGAGGGGGACATCAGTAAGACCCCAAGGACGTCCATGAAACACCCTGGAGGCATCCATGAGACCCCAGGGCACCTCCATGAGATGCCCCAGGGACCATCCGTGAGACCCTTGGGACCATCTGTGAGACACCCAAAGGGACCATCCATGAGACACCCCAGGGGCCATCCACGAGATGCCCTGAGGGACATCCATGAGACCCTGGGGACCATCCACGAGCCTTCCCTCAGAGGACCTTCCATGAGACCCCTCAGGGACCTCCACAAGACCTCGTGGACCTATTCAAACCTCAGCAACCATGAATGACCCCTAAAAACATCCACCATTCCCCGTTTCTCTTCATTTCCTCCATTTCTTACATCCAGGAGCAACTACCAGAGCTGAACATCCACTTCCGCTCGCAGAGCTTCCTCACCTCCATGTACGCCTCGTCCTGGTTCCTCACCCTCTTCCTCACCACCTTCCCTCTTCCCGTGGCCACGCGCGTCTTCGACATCTTCATGTACGAGGTAACGGGGCCATGGCCAACACCATAAATCACAAAGGGACTCAACCACGTTTTCCACTTGGATGTGGACACGTTCTCCCCGCGCCAGCTGGTCTGGTTTTGGGGAGAAAAACCCCAAACCCCAGTTGGGAAAGGCGATGGCATGGGGTCAAGCGTTGACCCTTCCCGCAGGGACTGGAGATCGTCTTCCGCGTGGGGATGGCACTGCTGCAGTTCAACCAGGCCGAGCTTGTCCAGCTCGACATGGAGGGCATGTCCCAGGTACGCGCCGGTGGCTTTTGGGGTGGATTTAGTCCACGGGACATGTTTTGGGGTGCGTTTGTCCAACAGGATGTGTTTTGGGACAGATTTGTCCAATGGGATGTGTTTTGGGGTTGATTTAGGCAACAGGACATATTTTGGGGTGGATTTGTCCAACAGGTTGTGTTTTGGGATAGATTTGTCCGACGGGATGTATTTTTGGGCAGATTTGCCCAAGAGAACGTAGTTTGGGGCAGATTTAGCCCCACATTTAGTATTTTTGGGCAACTTTCTCCCAGCTGGAGGTGTTTGGAGGCCAGTTTATGCAACAGGCCATATTTTGTGGTGGATTTATGCAGTGGGCTGTATTTTAGGTTTACATGATGGGCCATATTTTGGAGCTGGTTTATGCAGTAAGTTGTAATTTGGGATGGTTTTATGCAACGAGGATGTGTTTTGGGGAAGATTTATCCAACAGACTCTACTTTGGGGCTGGTTTACGCGATGGCCTGTATTTTGAGGCTATGTTTCATGGCCGGTTTCCGCACCCGCAGTACTTCCAGAAGGTGATCCCACACCAGTTTGACAGTTGCCCCGACAAGCTCATCCTCAGGGCCTTCCAGGTCAAGTACAACCCCAAGAAGATGAAGAGGTGAGATGGGGAGGTGGATTCTTGTGCTTGGGTGGGGTCCCCCTGGCAGCCGTGGGGCACAGAGCCAGGGGGTCTGGTCCTCGTCCTCGTGTCCCAGCCTGTCCCCGTGTCCCGAGCAGGCTGGAGAAGGAGTACGCTGCCATCAAGAACAAAGAGATGGAGGAGCAGATCGAGATCAAGGTGAGACAGGTCAAGTGTTGGCATCCTGGGGCCGCTTGAGGCATCCTCATGGCTACTTGGTCCATCCGTGGGGCCAGCTGAGCCCTCCTAGCATGGTGTAGCCCATCCCTGGGGCCATCTAAGCCATCCTGGAGCCACTTTGGCCCATCCCAGGGTCACTTGACCCATTCCCAGAGCCATTTGAGCCATCCCAGGGCCGCTTTGACTCATCCCTGGGGTCACTTTGAGCCATCCTGGGGCCATGTAGCCCACTCCTGGGGCCGCCTGAGCCATCTCAGGGTGGCTTAGCCTCTCCCTGGAGTCACTTGACCTGTCCCTATGGTCACTTGAGCCATCCTGGGACAACTTCACCCATCTCCGGGGCCATCTAAGCCACCCTGGGATCGCTTTGATGCATCCCACGGCCATTTAAGCTGTCCCCAGGGCCACTTAGCCCATCCTGGGTACCATTTAGCCTGTCCCCAGCACCTTTTGAGCTATTCCTGGGGCCACTTGAGACCTCCTGGGGCCACTTTGACCTATCCCAGGGGCCATTTAAGGTGTCCCCAGGGGCCACTTAAGCCATCCCGGGGCCACTTGACCTGTCACAGAGCAGTTTGAGCCATCCCAGGGCCACTTTCACCCATCCTTGGGGACGTTTAGCCCATCCCTGAGGCCATCTGGGCCATCTCCGGGCCCATCTGAGCCATCCTGGGGCCACTATGGTCCACCCCAGGGCCATTTAAGCTGTCCCAAAGGCCACTTAGCCTGTCCCCAGGGCCATGTAAGCTATACCAGGGCCACTTTGTCCCATCTTCAGGGTTGTTTGAGCCATCCAGGACCACTTGACCCATCCCCGGGGCCACTCAAGCCATCCGGGGATGGCTTAGCCCATCTCCAGGGCCACTTTACCCTCACGTCCCCCTGTCCCCGGGCTGTCCCCGGGCTGTCCCCAGGCTCGGCGACCCCCCCAGGCACATCATCCCCACCCCAGGGCTAATTCCTCCCCATTTTCCACCCCCCAGCGCCTCCGCACTGAGAACCGCCTGCTCAAACAGCGCATCGAAACCCTGGAGAAGGTAAGCCCCATGGCTGGCACCCCAAAACCCCTCTGGGGGCACCCGAAAACCCCTCTGGGGGCATCCAAACCCTCTGGGGGCATCCAAACCCCCCTGGAGCATCCAAAAAGTCCCTTGGAGCACCCCAAACTCCCCTGAGGCACCCATGCTGCCGCCACCCAGAGATCCCAGCACCCATGGGTGCAACCCCCTAACCTCCAGCACCCCTTTTATGAGCCGCACCCCCAAAATCACCCCTTCCAGCACCGTTTCGGTACAAAAAAAGATTTAAGTCCAGCAAGCAGCTGCTTCATCATTTTTCCACTCAAAGTCTCCCTCCGGGAGATGGGAAACGCTCCATTTTTAGGGCAAAACACCACCATCGTCATGTTTTCTCCCCTGGCGTGGGGGAAAAAGAGCTAAAATCCTTGGAAAACACCCCAAAACGGGGACTGATGATGCGCGGGAAGGTTGCCGGGTGCCTCCGCCTCTTGCTGCCTCCGTCCTCTTCGTTTATCTCGTTACGTTTCTCCTCTCTTTCTCTCTCTTCTCCGCCGGCGGCCGCAGGAGAGCGCGGCTCTCGCCGACAGGCTCATCCAGGTAGCGTCAAAAATAGCTATTTTTCTCTTTTCCGCTGCGTTTTAACCCTTTTCTTCCCCCTTTTGCTTGCCAGCCTGCCTGCGTCCGTTTGGGGAAGATTTTGCCCTTTTTCCTGCTTTTCCGGAGGCTCCCGCGCACCTTCCCCGCTTTGGGGAATGAGGCGGGGGGAGGAAGATTTGGGGGTGGTTGGTGAAAATGGGAGGTTTTGGCCTGTTTTGGGGTTTGGTAGAAAGCGGGGGGCAGCGCGGTGGCATTTGGGGATGGGATTTGGCCAAGATGGGGTAAAAGCTGCCGTTTTGGTGAGTTTGACCAAAATACGTGGGTTTTGAGTCATGGTTCGTGGGGTGAGAGTGGTTCGGAGGGGACAAAATGGCCCTGGAGGTCCCCACGGGGCTGGCGTCACTTCTTTGTCCTCAGTGTCACCTGCTGTGGGGCTGGTGTCACTCCCCAGGGCTGGTGTCACCATCACCTGCTGTCACCAGTGTCACCGGGGCTGGTGTCACCCCTTTCTCCTGGTGTCACCCCTTTCTTCTGGTGTCACCTGATGTGGGGCTGGCATCACCCCCTCGTCCTCAGTGCCACACACTACAGGGCCAGTGTCACACCCCTTGTCCTCAGGGCTGGTGTCACCCACCACGGGACCAGCATCACCCCCTCATCCCTGCTGTCACCCGCTGCAGGGGGCTGGCATCACCTTGCCGTGGGGCTGGCGTCACCCTCCATGGCTGGCGTCAACCCCTTCTGTCCCCAGCCTCACCTGCTGCGGGACTGGCGTCACCCCTCGTCCCTGGCGTCACCCCACGTCCCCAGCGTCACCTCATGTCCCCAGCATCACCCCCTTGTCCCCAGCACCCCACCACCACCACCACACCCCTCCCAGTGACACGCTGTGGGGGAGAACCGGGCACGCCATGCCATGGTGGTGACATGTCCCCGCTGTCCCCAGGGCCAGGTGACACGGGCACAGGAGGCGGAGGAGAACTACATCATCAAGCGGGAGCTAGCGGTGGTGAAGCAACGCTGCACCTCGGCCACCGAGAACCTGCAGCGCGCCCAGACCACTATCCGGCAGCTGCAGGACCAGCAGGGT